ATATGTTAATCTAATTTGGAAGTTCTTAAGATGTTCTTTATAGAATTTCTCTTTCTTCTCATTCTTTGCAACACATGTTGTTTCATAACTTTAGTTAGAGGAGTTATTTTACAAATGGTTATTATGAGTAATGCTATTTAAGATGCAAGTAGGTTTCTTCTTACCTTTGGATGTCAGGATGCATTTTGCTAACTCTTTTACTTGCTTCCCTAAGGAGAAACTGTGAGCCATTCTTCCAATTATAATTTCATTTAAGAAATTCAGTGAGGTTTTCAAGATTGATATGATCCATTTCTTTCAGTTGTATGTCATTCACTAATCACTGGACAAGGATCTTCATTTAGAGTACAAATAACTTGGTTCTCTAAAATGGTGGGGTTTTTTTTTTAGCTTTCTTTCCCCTTTTCTGTCACTCTGCCATAATCAGTTTATAGGTAGAATTGAGTCACACAGGACAAAAAGCTATTTTATGTTTTCATTGTTTTGTGGGTTACCACGAAAGACTTTCTCTGTATTCAGGTAGCCTGGACTTCAAAACACATGGTCTATTATTAAAACCATGCTTAAAGCCCTTCCATCATGAAATAACCTATCCAAGTTTGTATTTTGCTGGAATAACTCTCAAAAATTAGTATTAGTTACCCTTCTGCCATAAAATGGTTTCAAAGTAGAACTTTGTGGAGGGACATTAAACACAGGAAAAATAAAAATAAAGAAAAAATTACAATCCTAGAAAAAATAATAGGAAAATTTATTGGCAAAATGAACAGGTCTTTGGAGAGACTAACAGGTAATGGAAACAACTTTTAAACAAACAAAAGGATCTATAAAATAAAATGTATTATGTGAGTGTAAGATGTTTCAGTAAAACTTACATGCTTGCAAGAAGGAATAGCTATAAACAATGTTGGCCAGCACAGTCTTTTATAGGGACGTTTCATCCATGATTTATGTGTTTGAAAAGAGCATACTGAACTCATGAAATGATAACAAATGAAGTCTATATTAATAATTAATAATCCAAGATGACCTTTTGAATTGGAGAACTATGGGAAAAATACAATTTATTTAGGCAGAAGTAGTTTAATAGTTTAAGAGTAACACAGGTAAGTGGTGCCGTGGTGGATAGAGTGCTGGATCTGCGGTCAGGAAGACACATCACCCTGAGTTCAAATCTGGCCTCAGACACTTACTAGCTGTGTGACCCTGGGCAAGTCACTTAACCCTGTTGGCATCAGTTTCCTCATCTGTAAAATGAGCTGGAGAAGGAAATAGCAAACTACTTCATTATCTTTGCAAAGAAGACTCCGAATGGGGTCATGAAGAGTTGGACACGACTGAAAAACATCTGAACAACATCAGTTTAAGGGAAATAGCCTATATTTTAAATTTGTTTTAATGCTTTTTTTCAATAGTTATCATTATTTTTTTAATTAATTAATTTATTTTTAGTTTTCAACATTCACTTCCACAAGATTTTGAGTTCCAAATTTTCTCCCCATCTCGTCCCTCCCCCCACACCACGAGGGCATGCATTCTGGATATCCCTAATCTGCCCTCCCTTCTATCTCTCCCCCGCTTCTCTTATCTGTTTCCCCTTCAAATTTCCTGTAGGGCAGGATAGATTTCTATACTCCATTTCCTGTATATCTTATTTCCCAGTTGCATGTGAAAACTATTTTTTTTAACTTTTGTTTTTAAAATTTTGGGTTCCAAATTTTCTCCCTTCCTCTCTCCCCACCCACCCTCATTGAGAAGACAAGCAACTCGATACAGGTTATACATGTGTAGTCATGCAAAACACTTCCATAGTAGTCATGTTGTGAAAAACTAAGCATATTTCCCTTCATCCTATCCTATCCCCCACTTATTCTATTCTCTCTTTTGACCCTGTCCCTCCTTAGAAATGTTTGCTTCTGATTACCCCCTCCCCCAATCTGCCCTCCCCTCTATCATCCCCCTGCTCTCTTGTTCCCTTCTCCCCTATTTTCCTGTAGGGTAAGATAGATTTCCATACCCAATTCAGTGTGTATGTTATTCTCTCCTTAAGCCAAATCCAATGAGAATAAGATTCACTCATTCCCTCTCACCTTCACCTGTTTCCCCTCTACTGTAAAAGTCTTTTCTTGTCTGTTTTATGTGAGATAATTTACCCCATTCTACCTCTCCCTTTCTCCTTCTCCCAGTATAATCCTCTCTAACCCCTTAAATTTTATTCTCCAGATACCACCCCTTCATCTTCAACTCACCCTGTGCCCTCTATCTATCTATCTATCTATCTATCTATCTATCTATCTATCTATTCAACTATCTATCTATCTATCTATCTATCTATCTATCTATCCATACACATAATTTTTTCCCTCCAACTACTCTAATACTGACAAAGGACTCATGAGTTACAAATATCATCTTTCCACGAAGAATGTAAACAGTTCAACCTTAATAAGTGTCTTATGATTTCTCTTTCCTGTTTACTGCTTCATGTTTCTCTTGAGTCTTGTATCTGAAAGTCAAATTTTCTAGTCAGCTCTGGTCTTTTCATCAAGAATACTTGAAAGCCCTCTATTTCACTGAATGACCATTTTTTCCCCTGCAGGATTATACTCAGTTTTGCTGGGTAGGTGATTCTTGGTTGTAATCCTATCTCCTTTGCCCTCCAGAATATCCTACTCCATGCCCTGCGGTCCCTTAATGTAGAAGCTGCTAAATCTTGTGTTATCCTGATTGTGTTTCCACAATACTTGAATTGTTTCTTTCTGGCTGCTTGCAATATTTTCTCCTTGACCTGGGAACTTTGGAATTTGGCTACAATATTCTTAGGAGTTTTCCTTTGGGGATCTCTTTCAGGAGGTGATTGGTGGATTCTTTCAATTTCTATTTTGCCCTCTGGTTCTAAAATATCAGGGCAGTTTTCCTTGATAATTTCTTGAAAGATGATGTCTAGGCTCTTTTTTTGATCATGACTTTCAGATAGTCCAATAATTTTTAAATTCTCTCTCCTGGATCTATTTTCCAGGTAAGTTGTTTTTCCAATGAGATATTTCACATTCTCTTCTATTTTTTCATTCTTTTGGATTTGTTTTACAGTGTCTTGATTTCTCATAAAGTCACTAGTTTCCAATTGCTCCATTCTGATTTTTAAGGAAGTGTTTTCTTCAGTAAGCTTTTGGACTTCCTTTTCCATTTGGCCAATTCTGTTTTTTAGGGCATTCTCCTCCTCATTGGCTTTTTGGACATCTTCTGCCATTTGGGTTAGGCTATTTTTTAAGGTGTTATTTTCTTCAGTATTTTTTTGGGTCTCCTTTAGCAAGCTGTTGACTTGTTTTTCATGATTTTCTTGCATTACTTTCAGTTTTTCCTCTACTTCTCTTACTTGCTTCTCAAAATCCTTTTTGAGCTCTTCCATGGTCTGGGACCAATTCATATTTTTCTTGGAGGCTTTGGATGTAGGAGCTTTGACTGTGTTGTCTTCTTCTGGTTGTATGTTTTGATCTTCTTTGTTACCAAAGAAAGATTCTATGGTCTGACTCTTTTTGTGCTGCTTGCTCATGATCCCAGCCAATTACTTGAGTTATAAACTCTTTGTTAAGGTAGGGGTCTGCTTCCAGTGTGGAGAATGTACTGTCCCGAGCTTCGGGGGTTTTGTGCAGCTGTTTTCAGAGATACTGAAAATTTTCATTTCTTCTGAGGTACTATGATCAAGGGCGAGGTGTTCACTCCTTTCCTGGCCTGTTCTCTGGTCTATGAGTGACCATAAGCACTCTTTTCTGTCTTGGAACTGTGAAGAGGATTCTCTCTCCACTGGTACTACAAGCTCTACCATGCCAGCGCTCCTCCCACCATCCAGAACTGTGACCCAGATCCAAGCATGGGCAAAGCAAGAGAATCCTGCACCAGCAGAGAGATCCCTGCAATCCCCCTCTGATCAACCACTCGGTTCCCCCTCAGTCTGTGGGTCAGAAGCTCTGGAAGCAGCCACCACCCCGAGGCTGAGCTCAGGGAATGGGGGTGGGACCCACCTCGTTTATCTCTCTCACCACAGACACAGACCTTTCCTACTGACCTTCTAAGTTGTCTTTGGCATTCATGGGTTGAGAAGTCTGGAAACTGCCACAGCTGCCTGTGATTCTGTCCTCTGAGGCCTGCTCCAGGTTCGCTGAGGCCTGTGTACCCACACCGAACTGCACTCCTCTCCCAGCCCGGCACGATATACCTTTCCAATCAACCATCCAGGCTGTCTTGGGCTGGAAATTTGTTTTACTCTGTCTTTTTGTGGGTTCTGCTGCTTTAGAATTTGTTTAGAGTCATTTTTTAAATAGGTATTTAGAGGGGTTTGGGGGAGAGCTCAAGCAAGTCACTGCTTTTACTTTGCCATCTTGGCTCTGCCCTGATCAATGCTTTTTTTTTAAAAAAAAATTTTTTTTAAAGATTCGGTCTCTCTATCTCACCTAGGCGAAAAGTGTGGTGGCTGCTCACAGGTCCAATTTCACTGCTGATCAGTATAGAAGCTATGATCTGTTCTGTTTTTTGTTTGGTTTTGTTTTTAACTCTAGCACCTCCTCCTTAGGCAGCCTGGCTCCCTACTACATTCGCCTTTGCCCTAAGAGCTCCACATATTGGTGCTACACTTGATGTGGATCAGCTTAGCATCTGATCAGCTTAGCTCATGGCAGCTCAGAATTCACAAGCTCAAGGGATTCACCAACCTCTGACTCCCTGGTACAAGAGATTACAGGTGCATGTGATCATGACTGGCTTTTAATTTTTTGCAAATGCTTTGTTTTGGTAGAGTTATGGATATTTGTCAATCCCTTCAAAGAAACTTTCTGGCTAAAAGAAGTTAATATTAGAAACTGTAATATTAGAGATTGTAAATATTATAAATAAAAAAACCCTTTTCTTATAGTGACAGCAAATACAGGGGAAAACAAATCTTTAATGAATTACCATGAATAGTTCTAATCAAATGCGTTTGTGTACTTGACAGAAATACTTACCACTGGTAGAAGAAGACTCTGAGAAGGGAAAAAAAAGGTAAAATGTAAGGTTGCAAATAAATTATTATTATTATTTTTTTTTTGCTTTTTGGTTAGGCAATTGGGGTTAAGTGACTTGCCCAGGGTCACACTGTTAGTTAAGCATCAAGGCCAGATTTGAACTCAGGTCCTCCTAAGTCCAAGACTGGAGTTCTATGCACTGCACCACCTAGCTGCCCCAAGTCAGTTATTTTTAAAATTGTATTTATGTAGCAGCAGTGTAGAGCCATCACAACAGAGAATCAGGGGACTGGTCACTCCAATGGGTAACTCCTAATGTGTTCTCTATCAGTGTGGGCTGCATCATACATGGTTTCTGTACTTGCTCCCATTCCTGGTGTGTATTTTTTTTTGGAGTGCTTGCTGAGTTTACAGGGGGCATATTGTACTTTGAACAAGAATTGGCTTTGTCAATTAATTACAATGATGTGATTTGTGCATTTAAATCACTCACATCTGGTGAGAGTGTCTTATTCTCAAGAGCAGGAAAATGAAGAAACCTTAAGCTATTCGGGTCAATTTGGCTTGCTTAGCTCATTATCTGGTAAGAGAAAAAGACCATGAAAAGGGACTGCATGTTTTCATAAGCCTGATTATCACTCCAGTAAAAATTTAGTATTTTATGTCTCATTTAAAAAAAATTATTTTAAGTATAGTTATTAATTTAAAAAATTAAATTTTGTTTTCTATATTTTGATGAATAAAATATTTATGATTGAATATTTAATAAATGTTTACATAAAAAAATGCCTGGGTACACACTCTAACAATATGTACTATGAATGACTGGAAAGGATTTTGGAGGCTGACAACCACATATGCGACCCTGGGCGAATCACTTATCTCAGTTTGCTTTAGTTTCCCCATCTGTAAAATGAGCTGGAGAAGGAAATGGCAAACCACTCCAAAAAAACCCCAAATGGGGTCATGAAGAGTCAGATATGACTGAGAAATGACTAAACAACAACAGCAACACTCCAAGAGAGTTATTTAGGGTAAATTAGAAAGAGACATTTTAACCAAGTATGGGACTAACTAGAATAACTCTAAATTATAAAAATAAAAACTAGTGGAGAAGAAATTATAATTAAATTATAATTATATTATATTATAATCACATTATAATATTATATTATAATAAGAATTAAAAATTTAAAAATTCCTCTCTCTGTATGTATTTAAATCTGGAATTTGGTAATGATATTCAAGGCTAGTTGTTTTAAATAGGTATTCTATTTAAAGGTCAATTATCTCCATCGCAGGTAAAGTATGGCAATTGCATAAGTTTTATCGTTTGACCACGTGACTCTGAGACACAGCTGTTACCTGGTGACAATACTTACTAATTGTAATTTCATGCCTTTTATTGATGAAGCATAATGTGATGATAATAATAAAATTCTTAAAAGTTAAATCTGGAAATCTAATATATAAAGCCATAACAATAATGTTATAAGAAAGGCTGCACAAATACAATCTAAGGAATGATTGGTATATATGAGTACAACAGAACTGTCATGAAGGTCAGAGTGGAACACAAAACAATTCAGTTCAGTATCTACTTGAAGACCTTCAATGACAGAAGAAACCTTTATCTTCCCAAGTACCCATGCACACTGCCATATATAAAAAAGTGGTTGAATGAGTGAACCTTCTGGAGGCTAGAATATCTGGTAAATTCTTGATTTGGCTTGCTGATAATTTCATTGTTCAGAAGCTAATGGAGGTGATGGGGGCGAACTGCTGAAATTCTGTACTTCATTTTGACCAAAAAGGAGGAATTGGCAATTTGCTGGTATAGTACTAAAAATGGGAATCTTGGGGGAAAGAGTGTTTAACAGATAAAGAAGGGAAATACCATGCATAGTTTGGTGTATATTTTACATTTTATGAGACAGCTTTTAAAAATTCAGGCACAAGATATGTGGGATTCTATGGCTTAAGACTCTGAAAGAGAAGTCAACTTAATGAAGATAGGAGATAGAAAAGTTATGATTGCATTGTGCCATCCTGCATTATAAAATCAATCTTCTGTCTCTTTGTGTTGGTTTATTATACTCCTCTAGTCCCTGAGGCAAATGTCCACCAAATTGCTGCTCTTATCCTTCTTCTCATGGTGATCTCACTCATTTCCATAGCTTCAATTCAGTGTATTTATGGAGATGGTTCCCGAATCTATATATTTGGCCCTAAAATTTCCTGAGCTTCAGTCCTTCATTTCCCACTGCTCATTGGATAACACCATTCAGATATACTGCCCTCACCTCAAATTCAACACATCTTTTGATGCTTTTGCTAGGAGCTGTTTTGGTCAAGTTCTATGGAGAATTAATGTGGCAATCTTCAGTGGTCACTAGAGGGCAGCATGTTTTCATCAAGAACAAGTCATGCCATACTAACTTCTTTTCCTCATGCAAGTCATTTAATAAATATTTGTTTAATTGAATTTCGACAGGATTATTAGACTGATACCTAGATTTCAACAACTACCTGGATATCATAAAGGTGGACCTGAAGGTAGAACTGTTAGGTAGATTCTTAATTGATTGGATAATAACCCAAATAATGGCAATTAATTGATGCATGTAAACCTGAAAGTGGGGTTCTAGTGAACTCTAGTGGTTCTACAAGGCCCTTGTTTTACTCAAAATTCTTATCATTTACTTAGCTTAACTACAGATGATATTCTTATCAAATCACGATGGCACAAAACCAGGAGGAATGTCTAGTATGCTGGAAAACAATCTTAATAAGATAGACGGATGATCCAAATCAATAGGGATATATGAAAAGTTCTGCATTCAGATTAATTAAAAAAAAATTCACCAAACACAAGGGCAATATGGCTAGACAGCAATTCATGTGAAAATAGATTTGAGGTTTTAGTGGCTACAAGCTCAATATAATTTGAAAGTATACTATAAGTTAAAAATTTGGTTACAATCTAAGGCTATATTAATAGAAATATGGTATTTGTACTCTGATGTTTCACTGGAAGATGGAAATGACCTCAACTCCTTGATAGCAGAGATTGTCTTTTGTCTCTTTTTGTATCTCCAGCACTTTACACAGTGCCTGGCACATAGTAGGTATTTAATAAATGTTTATTGATTGATTGAAAGCTATAGCAGCAGACTAGAAATTCTGGAAGTTTCAATTAAGTTGGAAGCCATTAGAATAAAAGCCTGGTAGAACACATATCTGAGGACCAGTCTAACTATATTTGGAAAGATGAATCACCAGAAAAAGGTTGTTAGCCACAGAGTAATAATTTTTTTTTTTGGCCACAGTAACTCAAAACATTTACAGAGGTAGGATGCAGTAGTGATTTGTGTTAATAGAAGGAGGCCTCACATCAGTGAAGTTCATATTTCTTTTGAATTACTAAAGAGATATCCAGAACAAAGGACGTTATAAGCCTATTTCATACTGCCCTGGTTAGATCATATTTGTAGTACTATTCAGTTCTGGGTGTCATGTATTAAGAGAGATATTGACAGAATGGAGATCATCTAAAAGTTGGCAACCACAATGGGAAGCTATCTTGTTTTAAAATACAAATTCAAAGAAGAGCTCCCTGTACACAAATATCTGGAACAGAAAAAAGAAAGGTAAATTAAAGCATGACATTTCGTAACTGGTAAAATACTTACTAATAGTAATAGTGATAGTGGTGGTGATGTTGGTGATGGTCCTGACAGTGGGAATCTTAATATCTAAGAGGAAAAAAAATAAACTTGGTTAAAATGTGATGTTTTGCCCTTTCTCTGTACATTGTCTACTGTGATGATCTTGTCTCTTCCCATGGATTCAATGATCACTTCTATGCAGATGGTCACAAAATCTATGTATTCAACCATAAATTTTTGGGGTCAGGAACTTTTAAAGATACTCTTGAGAGTGCCGATGAATTTCTTGAGAAGCTAACAAATTAGGATGTGCTTCATTAATCCTAACAGATTAGTATTTAGGGGCCTCTCTTAGAAAGGCAACAGATGTAGTAGACTCAGGAAGACTTAGGTTTAAATCCTACATCAGACACTTACTAGCTCTGTGACCCTGGGCAAGTCATTTCACCAATCTGGACCTCAATTTCCTTATTTGTAAAGCAGGGGGAAGGGAGCTGAACTTAATAACTTCTAAGATCCTTTCCATCTCTAAATCCATGATCCTGTGATCTCCATAGGATTAAGCAGGAAAAAGGAATTGTTTTATAGCAGTAGGGATATACTAGACATAAGGAAGATATAGTAAAGGTTGCTAAATACCACATTCAAGCACCACACTCATTTCAGAATATCATAGAGATGGAAGATAGAAGATGTATGGATTGAATGCATTGGATGAGATAGATGCCAAGGTGCTTTTCACCCTTCAGATTCTGATGCTATAAAGATAATGAGTATAATCATTTCATAAAAGGAAAAGCATTAGAGGACAGAAGATGAGCCTGTAGTGAGCTTGGTATGAGACCCACAAAGCCAGATAAATCATCCTGAGAGGTAGTACCTACACTGTTGAGCTCATGGATTTATTGAAGTGTTAAAGTATATGAGCATATATTGGGGGGTGGTAGAGTTAGCTCCCCTATTAATAGCTCTCCATCACTAGACCATTGCCAGGAATTAGTTGATCAGATAAACGTAGTCACCTTGAAAAGTGCAATGACGAGAAGGGACAAAAAGGCAAAAACATTTCAAATGGTGAGGTAGAAAAATTGAGGGAATAAGATGAGTTACCAAGGTGGGAAGGAGCTCTGAGTAGCATTAAGGATGTGTAAGCCCAGTGTCAGGAGAGGTGTATACTAGTCTGATGGGGCATGGTTGACCCTCAGTGAACATGGTAATATCCAACAGGCTTTTTCTCTACGCTGTACCTATCAAGGCAGGCTAGGTGCGGCTGCTGCCGTGACTGGAGGGTGTGATGGCGCACATGGTGTCGCATCCTGTTCTCTATCCGCCAAGAAGAGAACTTGAGTGGGAAGCAATCAAAAATAAGCACCAATATCAGGTCAAAGTCGTTGAGAGATCAATCAGCAGGAGTACGGAAAGGCACACAAGAAACCATAGACGAAAGAGCCAAGAACAGAAAGACAAAGGCAGGAAACCTGTATGCATAGGTGTTCAGTGAACGGGAAGTAAACATCTGAGGACATGGAACGTACCTAGAAGACTCTGTGATTGCTCCCAGCAGAACTCACCTCTATCTCCTACTTTCTGGTACGCTCTAGCCCCTCCCTCAGACTTTAAAAAGTAGATAATACTAACACTTCAAGAATCCATGATTTTGTCTGTGTGGGTACTCCCTTCACCGAAACACTATGCAAAGTCTTATGACTTAGGAGATGATCTTTGAGAATTGCTGCCGATGAAAAATCAATCACTCTGTGCCCAACCCAGTTATAAGTCTACATGAACTGAGGTGGCAGCTGATGTTACAGTCTACCTTCAAGCCCATTCTCAAAGACTTTTTAGATTCCTAATATCTTCCTGATCTTAAACTCCAATTGCTATAGTTTTAAAGAAACCAGGTCACATACCTGCTGAATGACATCTTCAGGTAACAAGGACAGAGTTTCTTGCTCCAAGCCCAGCTCTCTATCCATTATACCACAATGCCTAGGTTATCATTATCATGCAGCTCACTTGTGCCCACCAGCTGTGTCTCCATTTTCCTCGAGGTCACCCATAATATTAATTTCTCAGAGATTCCAATGTTCTAAGATTTGCATCCTTAAACAGTATTGCCAGGAGAACATTTGTACTTGGGTCTTTGTGCTAGGGAGAAGCTTGGGATCATTATCATAATTAATCATAATATCACATAATTTCCTAAACACATTCCAGCTTAATCTCTTTATCCTATCAAATTTGGGGTCCAATTCACTATCCAGCTGCAGCATCTATCCAGAAGATGTGTACTTAAATCCTAATCCATCCAACTTTATAGCATAATCTAGGAAACAGGCATTTTCTATCCATGTAGTTTTTTTTTTTTTTTTTTTTTGCTGAGGGACTGTTAGGCTGATCTCTTTTGAATAATCATGGATCTCATTGAGGAAACTATAATGTTCTGAAACTTGATACAAGTAACCTAGTTTTATCTACAAATAGGACCAGCTAGAGGAACTCACCATGTACTGGGAATCCTCGCATTTAGAAACTACACAAGAAATCCTTCAGAGTTTTAGCCTATAGGATGTTAGAATGTCTATAAGTTTGAGGGAAGTTCCAATCTGTAGTTTAAAGAAACGAGATCTATACTGTATACTATTAATAGGAATCATGGCATTTATAGTTGAAGTATCTTAGACAGAATCTAATCCAACCTTTCTAAGACATCCAAATATTGAAAACAAGAATAAATGAATCTTGTTTTCAAGTAATTTTCTTTTTTAGATAGAGATAAAGGGGGAGAAAGAGAAAATGAGAAAGAATTGAAACACAGTAAATGGAAAGAGAAACCTAAAGACAAACTAACTTTATATATTTTAGATTTTATATGTTTTATATATATATATATATATATGGAGAGAGACAAACTATTTTAGATTTTACATATTTACATATTATTTATGTATATATGGCTAACTTTGTCTATTTTAGATTTCATATATTTACATATATATGTGTATGTACATATACACATATATGTATTCGATAAGCTAATTTTATATATTTTAGATTTTAAGGTTGGTCCTAGCTCTGAGTTAAAAAAAAGAAGGAATGAGGATAGTAAGAGGCACACGTCTGCAACAACTCTTCCTTCCCAGCTCTTGCATCCTCGTGTTCTTCTGATTGGAGAATTAAATGCTTGAGGTAAGGAGGTTTGAGCCAAGACAGAGGGAAGAAAAACCGACACCTGCTGAAATGCAGGATAAGAAGACCTATAAAGACTCTCCCCTTTTCTCTCCAGGTGTGGCATGCAAATAGGATTCAATCAAATTATTTCATTACAGAGATTACTAGTGTAAGGGATTTGTCTAAGTTCATTCACTGACCTCATCACAAAAAAGGGCCAATTAATGAGATATTAAATTGACTACGTAATTCAGCCACACCAAGTGATTTCTTAATGAGGTACAAATTAATCTCTTGAGTGAATCAGGGGTCATAATGTGATATGACAAAGAATGACAGACAAGACCACAAACACATCGGCCAAGATGTCAAAGTAATAATAATAGCTAGCATTTAGAGCAATTGAAGGGCAGCCAGACAGTGCAGTAGATAGAGTACCATGCCTGGAGTCAGGAAGTTTCATCTTCCTGAATTAAAATCTGGCCTCAGACATTTACTAGTTGTATGAACCTGGTCAAGTCACTTAACCCTGTTTACCTCAGTTTCCTCATCTGTAAAATGAGCTAGAGAGGAAGAGAAAAAACAGAAAAATCTCCCTAATGAATACTGATGCAAAATTTTAAAATAAAATACCAGCAAAGAGATGATAGCAATGGCAAAAAGATCATACACTATGACCAGGTGGAATTTATACCAGGAATGCAGGGTATGGAAGCCACATGTAGCCTACATCCTTGGGTGTGGCCTTTTGACTAAGTTCACGGTTTACAGAACAAATCCTTTTATTAAGGGGATTTGTTCTTTAAAGTTTGGATTCAGTCAAAGGGCCGCACTTGATTCTAGAACATCAAGGGAAATGAAAAAAAAAAGTACGTTTTGAGTAACGACTAAAATGTTTAAGATCTTAACATCGTGCTTTGGATTCTGAAGGTGCTTCTGCTTACTGAATTGAAATGTTCACAAATTTGCTAAAATTGTTACTAATAAAGCAGAAAAAATACTATATTTGGAGTCAGAAGGCCTGGATTTGATAATTACCAACTTTATTATTTATAAGCTCTATGGCCTTGATAAAGTACCATAGCTACTCCGAATCTCACTAAATCTCATCTCTAAAATGGGTAAAAGAGGTAAAGAGCTGGACTAGAACACCAGATAATCTCTAAGGTCCCTAAAGATCATGATCAGAGCATCTAGGAATTATTGGATGCTGTACTGAAGCTCTCTTCCTCTCCAAATTTACACCAAGTTGTAAAGAACAACTCCCTCACCTTTGCACTGATATGCAAAATAGTAGGGACATATTTGTCCCCAGGCAAAAATGAGAACATAATCCTGTGGGACACTGTGGTCAGAGACTGGAATGCCAATGTAAATATGTTAAGGCAGCTACTTGCCCATGATCACCACCAACGCTACAACAAAAACAAAACACTTAAGAACTGGCATTTAGAACTTCTCAGAGGAAGAGGGCTGTGGGTGTGAAATATTCCTTATCTGTCAAATTCCATGCATGTGTTGGTTAGTTTTGCTGAAGGGCTTTTCTCCCCCTTCCCCTTTCTCTTCTTTTGTTTGCAGCAAGGGATGGCTATCTGGGTAGGGGAGGGAGGAGGGAGATATTTAGAAATGGATTCATCTCAGCAGCAGCATCTCTAGATACAAAAATCCAAAATATATCAGTGAAAATTAAAGACCAACAAAAACCTATCAACCACCACCACCAAAACAATGTTCATTTGTCAATGATTGCTGGGACTTAAGCTAAGAAACCTAATTGTAGGGGTGAATCCAAGAGGAGGAGTGGAAGAAGTCTTCTCCCTCCTATAATTTTATTTATTTTTTTATTTTGGCTAGGCAATGGGGTTAAGTGACTTGCCCAGGGTCACACAGCTGTGTTATGTGTCTGAGGTCAAATTTGAACTCAGGTCCTCCTGACTCCAGGGCCAGTGCTCTATCCACTGCATCACCTAGCTGCCCCAAGTGCCCCCTATAATTTTAAAAGGCATTCTGTTAGATCAGAGGGAAGAACTTATTAGAGAATCTAATTAATTTGGAAGTACTGAAAGGAAGCTTGTCTGAGCTCCATGAACCCTCAAGTGTTGCTGAACATAATCTCTTTTCCCTCTATTTGTTTATAGCTCTTTGATAGCCTTTGAATTGCATTACATTTATGTAAGTAAATACATAGACTAAAAGCTATTAAATATGTTTACTTTTATTATATTTTCTTGTGTACATATATGAACTCTCCTGTGATATTGTAAACCCTGGGAGGGAAGTAATAATAACAAACCCTCAAGCATGGGGTTTAAGAGGAAGACAGTAGGCTGCTGAAGCTTACCAGCTATGTAACCACAGGCAAGTACCTGAGCTTTTCTGAGCATTGGTTTCCCCACATGTAAAATAGGGTGGGGGCTTATCATTTCATTGAAATGTGGAACTCAAGTGAGGAAGTGTCTTCTACTGATGCAACTCGCACCTTCTCTCTGAGCCACTGCATGTTGGGGGGCAGAACTTTAACCAACAGCTTCTGACTTTGAGGCCTGTTCTGTATCCAACACTGAGAGGTAACATACTACCTTTCATGTGTAAAATAAGAATAACATTACTTATTTAATAAATGAGAATTATTTAATTACTCAGAATAATATTACTCTAAATATTATATTACCAAACTCAAAGAATTGTTGTGAGGATGACATTTTAAAAATTGTGACACACAGTCAATTTTATATATATATAGACGTATAGCAGTACAGAAATACATTATGAAGAATAGTTTATTATATCACATTAAATAAATGTGAGCTATTATTATGTTATGAAGAAATATTTGTGGAATAGAATTGTATTATGGACAATAAAAAGAACAAACATATAAGTATGTATGTTAGAAAAGATGTAAAAATATATCTTTCTAGTTTTCGTCACACCTTGTTTAATTGAAATCATTGAAGGAGAAAAGGTTTTACTTTAATTTTGTTTCTTCCAACAAGAGTGCTGAATAGTTTTTGGAATGATGGCTTTGTAGCTGAAACTTGATCAAGTCTATTTCAAGAAATTTATGAAGCCCACTCTAGGATGGTAGGGTGTTTCTAATGGCCCCACTTCATAATATAAATGTTGTCTGGAAAGGGACCAGGGAAGAAGAGGTGGTATAGTGGGAGAACTGAAAAGAAGGTATATGATGCCAGCAAGACTCTCCCAAATCACCAACTTTGCTTTTTTTCTCCCCTTCAAAAGACTTCTGGTCATTAATCTGGGGATTCAGCAATGATGAAGAAAACAGCAGTGCTATGCACAGCACTAGTCCTATTGGTCACAAAGAGGGAACTGACTGATGTTTTAGGGTGTGGATGCTGCTGGAATGGTTGCCCAAGCCTCCACCTATTATGATGGATAGACTGAGTAACTGAGAGCAAAAATACAAACTACTTATTGGCACTGGGAGGTGGTACTGCCTGGTATTGAGGCAGATTCCTGGGACCCAGGACCAGCAGCTTTTGAAAGCTGTGTCACCTGGTGAGACCCTCTCATATTTTCTTGAACTAGCTGATAGATCCTGTGATCCCTAAAAAGTGTCCTAGGCTTGTGGCTCCTACCTCTATTCCTTTTGCTTCTTAGGGAAAGCAGAAAAGGGGTTTGTGATTTGGGAAGTAGAGAATTTTCCTCTTATATTCTGTATGATGAAATGTGTATAGCCACAGGGTACATTGCCTCTGAAGTTATATAAAAGATAAAATTCAACTAGATTGAAGAAATCTTCCCAGATATGGAGTAGAGATGGAGCCGTGGAGAAAGTTATGTGGAAATTTCCATCATTTTAACATTTCAGAGTAAGGTCCATTTCTTTATCTCTAGACTAATTTTTTAACCTCGCCAGTGTTCTACTTGCAAACTCTGGACACTCAAGTGAAGAAAGTAACAAGCATTTAGTAAGTACCTACTATGTACCAGGAACTGTGCAAATCACATTTCAAATATTATCACATTTGATCCTCACAACAACCCTGGGAGGTAGATGCTATTATTATCACTCTTTTACTGATGAGGAAACTGAGGCAGACAGAGGTTAAATGACTTGACCACGGTCACACAGCTAGTAAGTGTCTGAGGCTGGATTCGTACTCAAGTCTTCCTAAGAATCCCAAATTACAAAACCCAATGCAAAATAGCACAATTTCTAGTATACTTAATAGTAGAACAAATTCTTTTTTTATCTCCACCCAGTGAAGTCATAGAGATTTTGCAGATAACAGAAAAATGAAGTGCTGTTTTTCTTTCTGAAGTGCTGGTCTTTACCTGGTGTACAATGTGGAATACGAGGAACCCACAAGTTGTCAGAACCACAGAAAATCCTTTGCTCGCCTTCCATGTAAAATCCAGCATTGCATTCCAAAACCACAGTGTCTTGATACTTATAAGGTGGCCCTCTTCTAGACAGCATATGTCCATTTGGGAGAACTGGTTTTCCACAACGGACAACTGAAAATTAAATCAATCATTTTACATTGAAGTGGGGGAAGTGTTGAAAACAAAGACTAAAAAGAATCCTTTGAAAACAATTACTTTTTTCTTTATTAAAAGAATATTCATTATATTCATCTTTTCATTTTGTATCTTTTTTGTTTATATCATATTATAATGTGGGGTTGTGGCACTGGGACAAAAATGAACCACCAAAAATATTTTCAGACCTAATTTCATTTTTAAAGTTAATAAAAGTTTAGTGGTCTCATCATTAATAAATTAATAAAGTATTTGGAATTGCGCTAGGTATTATGGGATAGTAGTTAGAAGAATGTTTAAAAAAAAGATTTCCTACCAGTTATTTATAAACACTGTAAATCCAAAGCTATTCATAAGTATTTATAGCAAAGACAGAGCAGTGGTGGTTGTTGTCCAGTTGTTTCAGCCATGTCTAACTCTCTGTGACCCCATTTGGGGTTTTCTTGGCAAACATACCAGAGTGGTTTGCCATTTCCTTCTCCAGGTCATTTTACAAATGAGGAAACTGACGCCAACAGGGTTAAGTGACTTGCCCAGGGTCACATAGCTAGAAAGTGTCTTAGGCCAGTTTGAACTCAGGAAGATGAGTCTTCCTGATCCCAAGTCCAGCACTCTGTCCACTGTGCTACCTAAATGTCTGTATGTGGTTGAAATGCATATAAATTTCTATAACATGCACACAGACTCTGTCAATATAAAAAGGGGTCATAAGATGTGAGTAGTACATAGACACATCAGAGATTAGAAGAGGAAACACAGTCAATAGAATGTTATTATGTTAAAACTGTATTTTTATCTTTTTTAGTGAATTGTAGTTTATAATTTTTTTATCTTGTACAATAAATGAAATGGATAAAAATTATTTATTAAGAGTTTACTACTTAATACTAAGTATTAAGGGCTACAAAAGGTAGACAATTCCATCTACACATGCAGACACATGTATATACACATATATGTATACATATACAAATATGTATATAACATTTTAATTATTTTATATATACACACACATACATGTCTTCTATCTGTCTCTCTATCTCTCTATCTCTCTATCTATCTATCTATCTATCTATCTATGAGAATGGTGGGAAGGGAATTATGATGTAGGAAATCACAATGGTGATGAGGGTAACAACCAGACACTCAATTGCCACTCTCTTTTTAGAAGCAAGGGTAGCATTGATTTAATTACAGTTCTCAGAGCAAAAGGTGAAATATGTGGTGGTGGGGGGGTTATGATGGTGAATGGCCTGGTGAAGAGGAATGAAAGAGTGAATGAATAAATGAATTAATGAATGGAAAAAAATTATTAAGTGCTTGCTATGCACCAAGCATTGTAATAAGTACTGGGGCTACAAATGCAAAAGCAAAGACGGCCGTGGCCTACAAGAAGATCCAGCTGGAGGTGGCTAGGTGGTAGAGCAGTGGACCTGGAATCGGGTAAACTTGAGTTCCAATTTGGCCTCAGACACTTACTTGCTGTGTAATCTTGTAGGCAAATCACTTAATCTTTGTTTGCCTTAGTTTCTTCAGCTGTAAAGTGAGATGATAATAGCACTCACCTCCCACAGTTATGATGAGGATAAAATGATATAATATTTGCAAAGTGCTTTACAAACCTTAAAGAACTAGCCATTATTACATTCTAAACAACATACATAAAAGTTTGGTAGTCTAGAAGGGGCCATTTGGTCCAGAAAGTTACAGGGATTATGAGTAGAACCATAGGGGAGTAAGCAGATTAACAAATTTTATATGAGAAGAGTTGATTTGATCATGGTTAGAGGTTCCAGAAATGATGGGGAGGTGGGAAGGTAAGAAAGGGAAAAAGAAACAATAATGTTCTGAGAGAGACGGTCATCATTCTGGAGAGCAGTGCCCCAGGGCATAAGTTCTAGAGAACACAGCCTCTGGGTAGGCATACACTATGGGTAGTTATGGAGCTCAGCAAGTATTGAGCCCAGGGGTTTAGTTCCTCCCAAGCATGGCCTCTCTAGTTCTGTTTGGAGCAGGCAACAGGGCAGAAAATACAGGATAATATAAAAAATGTTAAATGCTGTGCTAAAATCTAAGAAGGCTTCATTATACAACATTCCCATTATACAACACTCTAGCAACCCAAGCTAAAAAGAAAATAAGATTGATCTAGTACTGATGGGGTGCTTGGGTGTTTGGGTGCTTGTGCTTGTGCTTGTACTCGAACCCCAATTTCTCCCTAGCCTCAGAAACACTGTCTCTGGCAGTTTCTCCCCAGCCCAAGCACACTGTGCCTAGCAAGTACTCATGGGTGGGCCCCAGCAAGACCCTTATCTCTCTCCCTGGTGCAGTGACAAACAGCACCTGAAAGAATTATTAGTTTGAACTGGCTTTGCACTGGGTCACAAAGATATTCTTACCCACTGGACTATCTATACTACTGCCTTATCTCATTATGTACATCCTAGACTCCTCATTATCTACATTCTAGCCCTAAGATATATGGATATGCTCTACATCTATCTTGTCAAACAAGACATTGACTGGTGGCAGACTGGACAACTCTCAGTTAACCCAACTGCTAGTTAACTTAAAACCACGCCTCTATGTGGCTCGTCCCTTGTAGGCTTTTCCCAGTGAACTCTGTGTAAAATGCCTGTGCAATACATGCAAAAAGTGCATGTTCCTTTAAGAACTGACCACTCCTTACACACTCCCTAATCCTGCCCTGAATCACCTACTTAGCATATTTGGTACATGTTTTATTGTATTTTATTCTATATAAACTTTAACTGTACCCCTTTAAGGTTACAGGTTCCTTAAGAATCCTTGCCTGCTGAAAAGTGTAACAATAAACTTTTTGCCAACTTGACTTAAAGAATGCTTGAGTCTGTGAATTCATTCCAGACGACCCCGTCCTGTACTCCAGTCTTTGAGGGGTCTCAACCTCTCAGACCACAACGGTATGACCTGTTTGTAATCATACCATGGTGCCTCTTAGTGATCATTGCCTTTCTGAATTTACACAAACCTTTTTAAAAAATACATCCTAAACAAGTCATTCCCCAATTGATAAATGGTCAAAGGATGTGAACAGGCAATTTTCAGATGAAGAAATCTGTAGTCATATAAAAATGCTCTAAATGACTATTGCTTAGAGAAATGCAAATTAAAACAACTCTGAGGTACCATCTCACACTTATTAGATTGGCTAAAATGACCAAGAAAGGAAAATGATAAATGTTGGAGTAGATGTGGGAAAACTGAGACACTAATGCATTGTTGGTGGAGTTGTGAACTGATCCAACCATTCTGGAGAGCAATTTGGAACTATGCCCAAAGGGCTATAAAACTGTGCATACCCTTTGTTCCAGCAATACCACTATTAGGTCTGTATCCCAAAGAGATCAAAGAAAAATGAAAAGGACCTATTTGTATAAAAAAAATTTATAGTAGCTCTTTTTGTGATGAAACTTGATTTATAGTGCTTTCCCCTCAGATTCTCTTGAGATGACACTAATTTGATTAATCTCCTTTGATTAGCAAGAACCAATACAACTAGAACTTAACCCATTGTTATGTTTGAAATGGGGCTGTCATGCAGAATTGAATTAGCAGTCACTTAATCCTTCCTTCCTACTCTTTTCTTTTCTCCTGCTGCTCAGACTCTATAGGTTTCCTTTAATCTTCCTGTTACAGTCTCTGCTGATGTTTCTCTGCATGTAGGATCTGATTCCTTACTTTATTTGTTTTCTTATTTTGGTTGATATGGTTAGGTTTATAATAAACATTTTTTAAAAGATGCATTTACACCAGAGCTGTGCTTATCTTTTGAATCCCAAATGTATACAATTAAACTAGGCCAAAAAAAGAAAAATATAGAAAATTTTAATTTCCACATTTTTGGTAGATATGAGTTTAAAATAGTTCATTTCATTTAATATATCATTGGTGAACAAAATGGTCTAGTTTTTAAAAAAATAAAATTGTATAGGTAGCTAGGTGGTATAGTGGATAGAATTGTAGACCTGGATTCAGGAAGACTTGAGTTCAAATCAAGCCTCAGGTGCTTACTTGCTGGGTGACCCTGGGCAAATAAATTAATATCTGCCTCAATTTCCTAAATTGTAAAAAATGAGAATAATAACAGCATTTACCTCTCAGGGTTGTTGTGAAGATAAAATTAGATAGTATTTGTAAAGCACTTTGCAAATCTTAAAGCACTATATAAATTGCTAGTAATTATTATAATCAAAAGATTTATATTTCAAATTAAATTTAGATTTATATTTCATATTAAATAAACCAACTAAAATGTGATTTTGAACATCATGACATCAAAATTAATAAACTGGGGTTGTTTTTACATAGAGATGTTTAGCTACATGGATCCTAACCAGACATCATTCTTCCTTAATTTCCAAAGTTTGAGGACAATGACAGAATTTTTTCTGAGGAAGCTAATTAGGAGAAAGATTTGCCTTTATGGCTTTGGGGGCTTAAAATATAGAGATGTGTGATATAAATACATACATATGTATATTTATAATATAAACATAATTTTGTAAAGAGAGAGAGGAAGAGAGAGAGAGTGCTGCTAGTACCTTCCCTTCTAAGGTGACCTTATATCTGCTTTCTTAATATCTCATTTGTACATTTTATCTACTCTGTTAGAAGGTAAGCTTCTTGAGAGTAGGGACCATTTCATTTTGTCTTTGTCTCCCTAATACCTGACTTATAATGGATTCTTACTAAATACTTACTGAATGAATGGTTGAGTCTATGTATTGATAATCATTTAAGATCAATTGAGCCCCAATAAGGGCCAAAAACCTGAATTAATCTTTTCTCTCTGAGCGAACTAAAAATGCCCCTTCCTGTGTCAGCAGCTACAGGACCAGATGAAACTGACCAGCATTCTTCCTGTTTGTGATCACTAAACACAGGATACCTAGGACGAGACACTCTCTTGAATACTGGGACTTTTCTTATCTTGGACATATCTATGGACATATGTTATGTAGGGGAAACACAGATATCCTGGATCTATAATTTCAATTGACACTTTGACATTCTCCTATTTTATTGTATTTACAACCTATTCAACTAAGAAACTTCCTTTCCCATGCTATATGTTAAAAAACATATGGAGGCTATATTTTTTTGAGTAACCCAGACATCCTGAGTCAGGGTTTAAATGTCCTCCTAAAATTGCTTGATTCAGTCAGAGTTAAAGCTCTGGCTCCATGTACATGTCGCTAACTTAAGGGAATAAACAATATGATATTACTTTTCACTTAGCTTGTTGCCTCTTTAAACAACTTTCAAGTCGACAGTAAGTAGATGATATGAACTGATATTAAACTCAGCTGGTCAAAGGTGGGGGCTACAAATGAAACTAACTGATAACACACCATTTATACAACTATATTTAAAGAAAAGGGATTCACAAAGAGAACTATACAAATATGCAAACCTATCTACAGAGAGTCTTCAAATGTTTATAGTTAACCTTCTTAAGAAATATAACAGCAGTAGTATTAACTTTAAAAACAATAATTAGCATCTTCTTTCATTTTCCAGGAATGCCTAAAGTCATTATTTTTCTAATTTTCTTTTCATGTTTATATGAATCAATGAATCAAATTCATAAAAATGAGTCACCTTTGCATTGAGGGGGAAGGGCACTCCATACTCCATCTCTCATGTTTTCTGTAGTACAATGGATGGATTTCTCTCCAATAAGTGTATGTGGTTCATTACATGTATAAGTCACTGATTGTCCATAATTAAAATAATCTTTAAAATCTCCTGTGTATCTCCCATTGTCGATAGTTGGAGGTGGATGACAGAGAATGACTGAAAAACAAACATACACACAAGTGCAAAGGGAGCTCAATAGTGGTTTGAATAAGGTTTCAGCTTCTTCAAGATTCCTCTCTTCCCTCCTTCCCCTTCTCCCTCTTTCCCTTTTCCTCCCACTCCACCCACAAGGCATTATGACACAGTAGAAAGGCCTCCTCAAAGTCAGGAAGAACTAAATTCTGTTCTCTTCCCTGATGTATACACGCATCCAGAGCAAGTTACTTAACCTCTCAAAGCTCTGAGAAACTCTCTTAGGTTATAAGCATAGAAATCAATAGAGAATCTCATAAAGACAGAAGCAAAAACAGGGAAAAATTCAGAGACACCGTAACATATTATACTATGTATATTATAAAAACAAAATTATGTTATGGTGGAAAATGAACCACAATGAAGAAGAGAATTTTAGAGTCCCTAGAGATTACGAGGCAATAGAAGGGAAAAACAAACAAAAAACTCCAGAATAATTCAAAAGAGAAAAAACTTTGAAAAGATACTAAGATAAAAATGGGGTCAGAAACTAGAGCTTTCAATATTGAATTAAAGACAAATCACAGGTACAAAATTTAGAACACATGATGTAAAGTATCTCCAAAGACGCAGAGGATTTGAAAGAGAGAATGACAGATATGAAACTAAAAAATACAGAAATGGAAGAAAATTTGGTAGAAGAGAAGCAAAAACAAAAGTGGTAACTTTAGAAGAACACATGACTTCTATTACAAGACCTTGAAGATAAGATACACTGAGACAACTAATGTATAACAGTCACCCTAGAAATCAAATAACCTGAATGCCATACTGCAGGAAACTGAACAAGGTAACAAATCTTAAAAAATAATCATCGACAATGTTAATCCTCACATATACTCAGTACTCCTGGCACGCCAGCCTCTATTCTCTGGCAGAGTGGGCATAAATAGACCCACTGTCTTGTGCCTTGGAATACACTTAGGGATCTCCTTTCTTGATTCAGACATTCTACTCTACTCTCCCTCACTCTGTTGCAATAAACATCAGACATTGACCAGTCAAGATGGCAGGGTGTGTGGGAGGGGAGATAAGGAAGAAAATTGGGTGAATCAGGCTTCTGTTTACTTGGAATAGCCCTTGAGTTACAGAAATTCTACCCAGAACATTTATTCTGCCCTCCCTGACTTTGCAAAACCTGGCAGACACCGATGGCTAGAGAAACAAAGAACAGACTGAATTGGGACAGGGCATGGCTGTACCAGACCTTAAGGAAAGGGGACAGAAATCCAGTTAGGGCCAATCCTATCCCTTTAGAAACTACTTGGGGCAATGAAAAAAGTAAATAATTCAATGTGAAGTTTGAAATAGCATTCTGGTCTAGCTCCAAGAGTATACCTACTATCAAAGGGGAAGTAGTCACAAAGTAAGTGACAGGGAATGTGAGAGAAAAAAAAAGCTAAAACCACCAAAGATTTCAAGATGAAGATAATTCAATTAAAAACCTAAACCAACAAAGAAGACATTAAAATTAGAAAGATGCATAATAAAACATTGAAAAAATACAAGCATCTGTAAATGAATATTACTGCTCAAATAAAGTTGAACTAATGCTTGATGGAATCATAGAACCACACCAGGATGTCCTAGAATGGTTCAAAAAACAAATGAAAATCTTAAGAAGTTAGAAGAGAAAATATTAGAAATTTTGTCTTATACAGAAATAATTAGCAGAATAGAAAAACTTGAAGCCATTGTAGTCTCTCCAAAGAAGCAAAAGAGAGAACAATAGATTTGAAATGCAAATATACTGAAGTGGACAGTCTAGAAGAAGATAAGCAAGAGGAAATAATACTAAAAGATACTACAAAAACAAAAACCACTGATTTTGAAGATAGGATTTGCAGAGAGAACAGAAATCAGAAGTCTCCCAGAATATGACAAACTAAAAAAAAAAAAAAAAGCAAAACTCAATACCATAATGCAAGAAATAATAAAACTGTCCAGAACTTTTATGTACAGAAAACAAAGCATCAGTTAATAAGATTGCTTTCAGAAAATAATAGAAAAACCTATGCTTCAAAGTCTAAGACATACAGTGCTTAAATTGAACAATTCCAATGAGAAACAACATATTATTCAAGCAGTCAGGAGAACAGCTTCCAAATATAAAAAAGGAGAGAAAGTTCAAATTTCTGTAAGAGTATTCTGCAACTACTAGAAACCCCAAAAGGCATCAGAATAATATAATTTGAAAAGCAAAGGAGGTCAAGATGCAACCCCAAAATAACATACCTTACAAACCTGAGCTTAATCAGAAATGTAAAAAACATTTATGTTTAACAAGGAAATAATTTAAACTATTCTTGCAAAAAAAAGATATGAAAAAATAATTTGATTTGCCAACACTTGGGGGTAGAGTCAAGATGGTGCAGTGAGAGGTAGACATTTTGTCTTTTCCACTTCATATATTTCTCCATGATGACCTAGAAAACATGCCAAACCAATTTCTGATTGGGAAAGCCAAGAAAAAGTCACAATGAGTCAGTTTTTCCAGCCCAGGGAAGCTTAGGAAGATAGATAGAAAGGACTGAAGACCTACAGTAGGAGTTGGTCAAGTGCACAGTGCAGTAGCAGTAGCATGGTAGGAGGAAGAAACATCACAGGACTGCGGCAGCAGCAGGAATGGGGAGCAGTATAGCTCCCAAGGATGGTAAAGGGACTGAAGATTCAGGCAGAAAGACAATGCAGGGGATTCCTGTACTATCACTGGGAGCAGGAATGGATGCCATATGGCAGCTCTGTTGCTAATTACCCTGTTCTAGATGACAGTTCCTGGGAGGAGAAGAGCAGTCACGGTCACGAGGGAGCAGGGGTTCTACCTACGTAAGGAGCAAGGAACAAGTTCCTGAGCCATAGCTGTGTGACTCGAAGCCCAAGAGCAAAGGAGGGATTCAGTTTTCACCTTTAACCTTATACATAAGTTTGCAGTAGAATAAAACAGGACAGGACCAAAACCAAGGGGAAGTCAACAGTTCAATCACACTGAACCTGCAGAACCTTCCAGAATGCTAACTGTGACTCAGTGTCCAGCAGCAGTCTACGAAAACTCAATTACACATAAGCCAACAAAGCCAAATTGGGTCAGGAATTTGCAGACCAGGAAGGCAGACCTCTACCCAGATCACACCATTTTGGAAGCACCAAAAACTTACAATTCCCCAGACTTAGTTGTGAAAACAGGAGATAAAAAGACTCAGGCCAGACTCCAGGAGTGAGCATAGCTCAACACTGTAAAGTCCAAAGTCAAGAAGTAGGCTGGAAAAAATGAGCAAACAAACAAACAAAAAGAACCTGGATGCAAAAAAGTTGCTATGGTGACAGGAAAGCTCAAGACACAAACTTAGAAGAAGAAAACTTGAAAACATCTACAAGCAAAGTCTAAGAGGAAAAAAAATGCAGACTGGACACAAGCTCAACAAGAATTCCTAGAAAAGTTAAGAGATTTTTAAAAAGAGCAAAAATAAAATTTTAAATCAAATGAGAGTACTAGAAGAAAAATTGGGAAAAAGAAAAGATCACTGTGCAAGGAAACTATAAAAAGAGAATTAACAGCTTGGCAAAAGAGGCACAAAAGTACTGAAGGAATTCATAAAAGATCAGAACTGATGAGGGGCAAAGCCAAGATGGCATATTAGAGTCAGAAACACAGCTGAACTCTCTCAATATTCCCCTCTAAACAACTTTAAAGTAACACTTCAAATCAAATTTTGAAGTGGCAGAGTCAACAAAGGGTAATCCTGAGACATTTTCCCAGCCAAATAAGCTTAAGAGGTCTGTAGGAGTGATCTGTGACATCAGGTTGGAAGTCTGTCCACAGCTGCCACATATGTGGCAGCAGCAACTGCCACAGCAGCTTCAGGAGCTCTCAGCTCAGAGAACATAAGGGGGTCAGACAACCATTCAAAAAGAGATTCCAGGGCACCTGTTGCTGGTGCTGGGTATGGGGTCTGGTACTGACTGGCAACAGTATTGCCTATACTGGGTTGCAGTTCCAGGGTAGAGAGGAATGCATGTGGTTGGTCCCAGAGGAGCAGGGACCCTGGTTACAGTTCCAGGGCAAAGAGGAGTGCTAGTGCTTCTGTCTAGAGGGGAGCAGAGTTCCTTTTTGGGTAAAAAAAAACAGAGTACAGACCATGAGAGTGGTGACGAAAACTCTTCCCAGATCATACCACTTTGGAAGCATCAAAAAACTTGCAGATCCCCAGAACTAACTCTGAAAACAGCAGCATGAAAAAGCCTGAAGCTTAGGACAGTACCTCTTCACCCTCAAATGAGCAAAGTCCAACTTTAACATAAAGTTCAAAGTCAATAAATAGGTTGGAAAGATGGGCGAACAGCAAAAAAAGAACCTGATCACAAAAAGCTACTATGGTGGCAGGGAAGACCAAAATAAAAACTCAGAAGAAGACAGTAATGCAAAATAGCTATAAACAAAACCTCAAAGAAAAAATGCTAATTGGACATAAATTCAACAAGAATTCCTGGAAGAGTTAAAGAAAGAGATAAAAGTGGTAGATGAAAAATTGGAAAAAGAAATGAGAGTGATGTAAAAAAACTATGAAAAGAGAATTGATAGCTTGATAAAAGAGACACAAAAAAATACAGAAGAAAATAACACCTTAAAAAATAGACTTGATCTAATGGTAAAAGAGGCACAAAAATTCACTGAAGAGAACTCCTCAAAAAGCAGAATTGGCCAAATGGAAAAAGAGGTACAAATGCTTACTGAAGAAAATAATTTCTTAAAAATCATAAATGGGTAACTGGAAGCTAATACTCCAGGAGACATAAAGAAACAATAAAACAAAGTCAAAAGAATGAAAAAAAGAAGAAAATTTGAAATATCTCACTTGGAAAACAACTGATTTGGAAAATAGATCAAGAAGAGACAATTTAAAGAATTACTGAAATATCTGAAAGCCATGATCAAAAAAAGAGCCTAGACATCAATATTTCAAGAA